GTATTTTTAATGCTTCTTTGATATAATGAAATATTTAATATCTTACCCCACATAATGTAGCTTTTCAAATAGATATTTGATAGCGTATTATATAAACTCCTGCATTTCTACGAAACTTCGAAATTTTACGAGATGAAACTGGCAATTCGCTTCTTCTGTGCTCCGTTTACCCACCTTTCATTTTTCACTATCTTAGCTCATAAGGCTACATTGCATTTCTCTTTTTGCTTTCGCCCTTCCAGAATCCCCTTCTTATGGTTACCATGCGCAGCGTCGACCGTGCTGAGCGACCACTCGCTCTCGGATTGCAATTTGTCATCATTCGACTGCTTGCTAATATTCCTGCTCCATTGATTTGCGCTCGCATTATTGATGCTGCTTGTGAACACTGGCGCATTACTTGTGGACGCCAGGGGAATTGTGCTTTCTACGATTTGGTCAAGCTGAATAAATACCTCATGGGTACGTCGAAATATTTGCAATTAATTACTTTTTTAGAGGTTGTTTGACCTTGTTTTCTCAACTTGGTCATATTGGTAGTAAAACTTAGAGGAACGCACCTAGTCCGGAGTCCATTGTATGCATGGTCATTTCCAGAGTAGGACCGTGGACGTTGTACATTCGCAGACGTTTCGCTGGCATCATAGTCTGCCATTCTTAGCACCACACAACAACTCATCACAGAGACAAGTGAAGCCGATCCTTTGACCAAACGCGTTGTGGTATCTTTCCTTCTGCACTAGTCTATTCACATTTCCCATATCCTCCTATCACACCTTCACGGTCACATTTTTTTACCGTGCGGAGATTGGAGCTAGTCGGCTGACAGTAGGTTTTACCAGAGATGTGGTCCATGTAGAAAAGATTTGACGATTAGACTTACTCAGAGGGTTGAGCCTCTGACGGAGGGAAGGGCAAATAACGCTTCGAGCAGCACAGATGGGGTGACAGGGTGAAATACGTGAAACAGGGAGATAGCAGACAGATCTTACGGGACAAGAGAGAGAGAGAGAGATTGTGATGAGACCTAGGGAAGGAGGATTGCGTAATAATATGGCAGACACTGATCAACATTCCCAGCACAAGGGTGAAGGTGGTGAGAACGGCAGCGTTAAGTTTGAAGGGCTTTTATGAATCCTGCTCAAAGGAGCACACCACACTACATCGAAATAAGCACGGTACAAATTTTAACAGTGAAGGCGTGTAGGAGGATATGGGAAATGTGAATAACTCAGGGCAGAAGGGGATTTACCACAAATGTTTTGCACACATTTAGTCAAAGGATCGGCTTCACTTGTCTCTTTGGTGAGTTGTCGTGTGGTGCTAAGAATGGCGAAACTCACTGACGATGCCGACTATGATGCCGGCGAAACGTCTGCGAATGTACCACGTCCACGGTCCTACTCTGGAAATGATGATGCATACAATG